CACGCCCGCAGCGACCACGATTCCTCCCACAATAGCGGCGCCCACCAGCCCCTCCTTTGCCACCTTTTCGTCGATGAGACCCTTCAAGCTTCCGGCCTGGAGGTTTGCGGGCTCCAACTCCAGCAGCAGCTCGTTGTACCGTCGGGCTTCAGCATAGTTGCCGAGCTTGTAATTGCCGAGGGCGAGGTAGTAGAGGCATTCGCGCCGGCGCTCGCGCGAGTTGCGGAAGATCTCTGAGAGCAGGCGCACTCCTTCCTGTTGGTCGGGACGGGAGGTGGATTTGATCAGACCCTAGAATACCATGAGCTTGCTTGTTGCGGGTGGTGCCGTGCGCATGTGCAAATGTGACAAGACGCGGGGAAGCCGTACCCATGCGTAGTTGAACTTCGTCTGCAGACCAACGTATTCGCCCTCCTTCTCGTACTGCGCGCGCAGAACCTGCAGCTCCTCCGGCTTGAGCGGCGACTCGACATCGGCGGCATCTAAGGGGAATGAGCGTTCGTCGGCCCAGAAGTCGTTATCCCACTCACATGGTAATGACGGCGGCATGGCGGCTGTTTGTGTTGCGCAAGAAGATTAGAGAGGTCTGAGAAATCGTCTTTGGGGGAGGCGGAAGTTGGTATCGTGAGGATGGGTTAGTGCAAGTGGTAAGCGTCAAACTACGGGCTGTCTCGTGAAAGCTCCAGCTGCAGGCCGAGCAGGCGATCTTTTACCGTGACGTACGCCGCCGCCTCGTGGCTGCCGGCCTTGCGCCACGCTACGCCTGCGCCTTCCGCCACTTGGTCGCGGTTGCCATGCACGCGACTTGGCACGGGCCATCCAAACAAGAACATCAACACCATGGCCTTGTCGCGATAGACACCACCAGATACCAGACCAGACGAATTGCGCGAACAATCTACAACGCTTCAAACACTCGTACTATACTCTTAAACCTCAAGCGACACCAAATAGCCCAACATGCTTCTCGACGAAGACCCCGCTGCCGTACGCACCCTCCCTAAACACATACAGACCTCCTTAACAATACCAAGCTCATCGCGCAATGCACATCGCACTTCAAAATTGCCAACGACAAAACCTCGCTCCACCGCATAAACGAGTCTCTCAGCACCCTCAGCGAATTCCGCACCCAACACCTGCGCTCCATCCAATCCTCGCTCAGCGCGCTGAACAGGACACACCAAACCCTCTCGGCAAACCACAACCACACGCTCAGCCAACACAACCCCACAAATCACGCAGCCGAGATATTACGGCTAGACACGGAGAAGTTTAAGATCGCAAAGCAGGCGAGTGATCTAGAGATTGAGGGTGAGAGGCTGCAGAGCGATCTCGTGCGGTTAGGGGGTGTAGCTGGCGAGTTGGAGGAGGAGGGTGTTGAAGGCGGTGTTGAGCCTAGAGCGGGTGAGGATGCGACAGTGTAAGTTCTTCCTTTTGATGCGCGAGTAGACGCAGATGCTGACTTAGACTGCAGATTGAAGCTCAAACTTTACCGCACCCTCGGCATCGACGTCGAAGCCGACCCCACGACCGGTGAATACAACAAGGCTGTCGTGCGCAATGCGTCAAAGGGAGATGTGCATGTTGTCAACATCGATCCGAAGTTTTCGCGGCACTTTTACACAAACTACTTCTGGCGGACGATGTAGACTGGGAATGTCGGAATCGCGTTTGCGCCGGACGCGAATATATATCTGGGGGGGGCTATGGCTGGCTTGTGGTAAGAGACGACAAAGATGAAGGTTATGTGCGTATGTCAGGTTAAGTGTTTGGTTATGACTTGCTTTCTGAGATACCTCTGTCATTATGGCGTTCTTAGGTGTATAAAACGACTTTGACAATCGAACGAATAACGCTGCTGGTATACAACTCCTTCGTGGCTGCCGATTTCAATTTACCCCCCGTCTCATTGGCGTGCAAGCCACCATGCAAGGCTGTTTGTCAGCAACGTGACAGCCTAATCTACAGACCAGGCTATGCGTTGTCTCCGACACTCTCTCACCAGCTTACTTGCCGCATTGCTTTACTGTTTTCTTCACTTCAAGCACATTTTTCAAGGACAATTATCGACAAGCGCACGAGGTCGCGACGATCGACAGGAGAATGGATGGACTACAGGATGACACAGCATTCCCCACGACACCCAGCCCGGTCGACGAAGAATCCGATCTCATTCTCGAAGAAGGAGAAAGAGAAGCATGGGGAGATGCCATGCTGAGATCTCGGATGAGACGTCCGTACGCCGCATACAAGAAAGCTCATCCTCAGGGAGATCTGTGCAAACGTTGCGCTTGCATAAATTGGCCGATTCTTGTACCTAGTGTAGCGTCGAGGTACCACTCGCCTAAAGATGGATTTGAATTGTTTCGCGTCCCTGAGTCCAGTCAGGAGCTCTCTGCGTCAACTTGTCGATTATGTCGGTTCCTGGGCACCGACCAAGACTTCGACGGAGAGCCTTATCGAGCCCTCATCTTGGACTGTGGCTGCTGGACTTCATTGCGTTCGGATGATCTTATGGTTCCACATCGTATACGTCTATGGCTTACGGAACAGAAACCGATGCACATATTACAAGATGCCTGTGCGGACGAACAAAACTATTTAGTTCGAAAGCTCACTCCTGGACTCATTGACTATGAAGAGCTTCGGCATTGGCTCACACACTGCAAGCGCCAACACTTCACAGATCGCAGCTATGTTCTCGCTTCGTCCATCCCTGGCTTTAGGGTATTTGACTGCAATGCTGGGAAAGTCGTCCCTGCACCTCAGGATACTGCTTTTTCTTACATAGCATTATCTTACGTATGGGGTGGCGTGAGGATCTCGGAGAAAGAACAGGCTGATTTCCCCGCGACGATACGCGACGCCATTACCGTCACACTAGAGCTGGGTTACAAATACCTCTGGGTCGATCAATTCGTACGTGGTCGTCTTAAGCACGGGCTATCTACAATCAACTAACGTCCAAGCTCAGTGTATACATCAGTCAAACGAGGCTCACAAGCAATCTCAGATAAAGCTCATGGGCCGTATCTATGCCGAAGCAGACTTAGTCATCATCGCCGCAGCTGGCAGCTCTTCCCACCATGGATTACCAGGTGTCTCTACTAGGCATCGGCAAGCACAAAGAACAATTGAACTGGATACAGATGTTAACTTGATCCAAACGTTCGATGTATGTGCTGAATTTGCCTCTAATACGTGGGCGACAAGAGCGTGGACCCATCAGGAGGGCTATTTGGCAAAACGTAGACTCGTCTTTACAGACCACGAAGTATTGTGCGTGTGCGAACACGGCGTGTGGCAAGAGTCTGTGAGGCGGCCGGGCATCGGCGACCACATTTCCTACATGGGAAACGACTATGCAGGTTTCCCACTGCAATGGATGGAAGACCTGCAATCACGAGTTGATGAATCACGAGTTTCTGAACTGCTAGAGGACTACTCGAGCAGGAAGCTGTCTATGGACAGCGATATTCTCAACGCCTGCATCGGAATGCTGGAGAAGCTCGTCAACCGTCACTTTTGGGGTATGGTGATCATGTCGAACACTGGCTCTTCTGCGCATTATCATCTCTCTTTGGGTTGGCGCACCAGGCGATCTGGCAAGAGACGTATGAATTTTCCGACTTGGTCGTGGGTAGCAACAACCGGTCCATTGAGCATTTCATGGGTGTCTGAACATGATAAGCCAGACTTCGTTGCAGAGATTCCAACAGCTGACGGTCGTTGGCTGACGCCAGTGAGCCACACTGAAAGCCGGTATGAACCTCTGCCCGAGGACTCCTGTCTCACCTTACGACTTACTGGGCTGTTCTACATCGCTTTCCTGACAACGACTAGAGAGTTTGGCGAAACCCAGGGGCATGGAGAAGATCATGTAAAAGTGTCAAAGACGCCCTGCGTCATTTTCGAACACGCTGTTGTGGATGGTGATGATCTCGAGATAGCCATCGAGTTTCTGCCTGACACAAAACTCTCAGGTATGATAGCAGGAGACACAGTCAAAGCGGTCCTAGTCACGGGTAGCTCGGAACTGAACTACACTTGGCAATATCACCGGCCTCCTGGTTTCATGATTCTTCAGGCTGTGGGAGATCATTACAGGAGAATTGGCTTCACCAACAATCGCTGCTGGATTATTAAGAAGAAGACTGGACTACAAAGGAAAGAAGATAGGGGGTTTTTAGCGCCATATCTAAGCTGCAGAGGCGACGAAGAGGTCATCTATGTTGAATGAGACTTACCCAATCGCCAAAAGATGGGCAATGTATGAACGTAGAAGTTGCGTCGTTGAGATAGGGTTAGAGCGGCTTCGTCTAGTCCTTGATAGATAGTCTCGATAAGATCCGTCGCTTCCATCGATCTCAGTTATCTTTAATGAGCGCGACTGCAGTCTGTATGGTGCCAAAATACGCTGATCCTGAGCAGACCTTCTGCAAATGGTTCAAAACGAGGTAGGCGAAGGAATGCACTAGTTTGTCTCAAAGAAGAGGGATCACAACTATAATTGCAGCCGGTCTTTCGCGTCATTAATCAGCCAATCTTTCAAGAAGCCATCTTGCTATTCCGGCTATGTTGGGCACACCCGCGCCTCATCTAGTGCGTGTTGGACGAGGGATCTCACAAACTTCCTGATGCGGCTATCCTACCGAACTGCGGGAACACCTGCGCCGCAATATAAACAACTAGCCCCAGCGCCTACCACCAGAATACCGTTAGCTTTCACGATGCAAGCATAGACAAATACAGCGTTCGCTCGATTTGGAAGCTTGGACCACAGTCGCTTCACTCATTAGGGACAAAGAATGCTGTTCATCTAACTACAGGCTAGCGTCATAAGCAGTCATGACCACGCCTCGCTCCTTCTCTGCCCGCGCGCTCCCTATATTAAAGAACCTACACCTCCGCCGAAATAAACCCGCAACTTCCACCCTCTACTTAGTCTCGACGATCTCTCGATTTCCAGGAACCATCAACCAAATAGAACCCACAGAATGCAGCTCTTCATCCCCGTCTTAGCTCTCTTGAGCACGCTTGTCGCTGCTGTACCGACCGTACGTAACGAAGACTACCACACCAAACCATCCTTCCACCCATGATACTAACATTCCACAGGCTGCAGCGGACGGTCGCGGGGCCACCATCTTCACCGACAAAAACTTCAACGGCCGGTCAACCGCCATTCCCGCCAACGACTTCTGCACCGATATGAACAACATCTTTGGCAACTTCGATGGCAAGATCCGCAGCGTCACCGTCGAGAAGGGCTACCACTGCAAGTTCTACACGTACGTCATATCCATCATTCTCCTTTTACTTGGGAAGACCGTTGGAAACTAACTTCCACTAGTGGTCACGACTGTCCTGCCAACGGCCAGAAGATGGAATGTGGCAGCAAGGACCAGGCGTCGGTGTTTGGCGATCTGGGCACGTTCGACTACAAGATTCACAGCGCGTACTGCACGAAATTATAGATGGTAATTTGTGCAGTCTGGATTTCTTTGGGTGTTCTGAGCTTGGTACGGCTTGCGCAGCTTGAGTGTGCTTGGTGGCTTGAAGACAAGATGGGTGTAGCATGTTCGCAGTAAGCGCTACAGCGGTACTTTGCGACTCGGTCTATCTATCTGCGAAGGCTGGAGTTCCGGGTCAGCGCGGATAGACTGTTATACGAGATGGGGTACATAATCATAATACTTTCAATCGTACAAACACATGTGTCTCCAGTGCGCGACATGGTTGGTGTCTGCCGAGTCGCATAACGCGTACAAGTAACCACGAATGGGCCATCGCCAAGTGATCGAGCGATACAGACGCGAGTTCTAATGAGTCAGGTATTGCGATCATCGATTACAGTCGAAGCGCGAAATTGCGAATGTGACGGGATAAATGGTTGTTGCATTATTATCGACAGCGCCGATGGTGCAGTGTGAAAGGAGATGAAGAATGCAGGAGGGACGGGTACAACCGCCGCAGGTGTTGGTACTAACCCGGAAAGGAACTGCCCCACGTTGACCCACATCGATCGCCTGTGGTTCTGGATGTCACATCACAATCTTTCACGTCGACACGGGGCAGCCTCGACTCTTTAGCAGCGCGTCCTGGATTACGAAGTACGTACGCAGCGAATTTACATGTCAAAACTGCGGAAGACGGCATGTCTTGGGCAGCAGAGTTTGATTGGCTGGCCAATGCGCGGTGCATACTTTCATCGTCGTTTGGGCCATCGCTCATGACTTTTGTTCATGACTTTCGAGGCTGTCTACAATCTTAACGACATCAGTTCACATGTGCTATGTTTTCTAATCATCGATATCGGCTGCTGAATGCAAGCGAAGGTGCGGTCCGCCCGCGATACACCTAAATCCATGGATGCCTGTTGAGCCCAACTCAACACCCCCAGGACGCCCTACGCCCGACGCAACTTAGAATGCCATTGGATGGCACATCGTCCACCGCATGAGAATGACCACTGCGTCTGAGATCAGGGCTGCGTGCTCTACAGTATCACATATCTTTGGGATGTCATCATTCGCGGACAAGAATGATCCAAGTACAGGTTCGGATTAGATCATCGTGCCTTGCTTTCATCCCAACTCAATCTCAAACGAGATCGTAGCGCTCTGGTGGCTTTGTTTGGTGAGTCCGTTTTGTTCCAGAGTCTCTTTGCGGGCTTTGTACGAGTGTCAGGAAATGGGAAGAGGTTTTCGACAACAGCCTTCGTCTGAGACATCACGACCCTTTCTCTTTCGCAAAGCTTGAGATCACAGTTTAGACTTCTACAACTCATTACGTCGCGGAATTCAACTGGTACTCACTGCTCGGGCGAACTCGAACGGCCTGTTATCGGAGTGTCCGAAGTGTAGCACCCCACGACGGATTCTGGTGGTGTTTCAAAGCCTTCGAACCCCGTCACCAACCTTGCCAACTGTGACAGTTGGATCAGGATGATCAATTCAATTCCTAATCACCCACGAATCAAGAACCGAGTCACCATAATATCCAGCCTATCACGGCATACAACGACGCCGGGAGACCAGTTCAGTCCCAAAGTAGCAACGGAACACTGCCTCAGCCTCGCATAAAGACCCCGTAGTGTGATGAATCTCCGTCGTGTGGGACGGTAGGAGCCTTGCGGGACTGGCAGGTCGCCGAACTGTTGGTTGTAGTCTCGCGGGAGTTAAAGTGACCCACAAGCTCGCCGCGATGTCAGCTCGGTGCTTTACAATCATAGCGGCAACTTCAATCGCCCCATTTTGGCAGTACATCTAGAGCCTCAAACTACGCTCTCACATATCATCACAATGAAGACCTTCGATAAGCATTCCTGGCTCGAATTCTGGTTCTACGGACTCCATCCCGGTATCATGATGGCACTAACTTGCATTGGTGTCATGGCTACATTGGAGATGTACCCGTTCAGGATGAAGACCACGTCACGCCCTTGCGAGAAGTGCATGTCAGTATGTCCAAGTACTAATGCAAACAATTGTTAATCAATCAACAGGAAACGGGAGAACAAAGACAATCTTGAACATCCTTCTACAAGCGCGACTTTTACAACGCATCATACCACACCGGCTCACAACGATGACAAACTGTTCGAAGCAGAGCCAACTACTTTCCGACACCCGTCCTTCCGCTACTCATTCATTCCAACTTCGCCGTTCGGGGCTGCAATGCCAATTCGAGTTTCCTCATCTCGCGCACCGTCATCATACCACGCGGATGGTACGCATGTTCGCGTTCGCTCACTACAAAACTTCCTGCTTCCACCACTTTTCAATCGTCATCGTTTGAGTGGAGAGCAGTACTCCGACGGTATGCAGACACCTGACAAAGCGCGCAGCAGGCGCATGAGTGCTGTTCGCGAGGATATGCACGGTGCTATGATGGTGTGATATGGTCAGTGATGATGAAATCTGTCCTGGATGATCGTACATGAGCCGAGGTCGTCTTGTAGACTCTCCAATCAATGTTATACTACCCATACGTGACAGACAACCATTTATTGAAGTGTTCATTTTACCGATACGCGTCGCTAGCTAGAGCAGCTCTTCTTCTACCAACGCGTCAGTGCCAGTGTCGTCGAACAATAATTAATGTACGCAGGCGTAGATTACAAGGCACACTATATAGCTATCTGAAATATCAAAGCGCCATATAAGCGTTTTATCCGGTCATCTACACCTCAATAGTATCGCGCTACAGATACTCAGAGAAGCGAGCCGGCTGCGCCGTTCCCTTCACCGCCGCATCTTCCGCAAACGCGCGGATTTCCATGTCCTCCTCGTTCCTCAGTCCAACATCCATGCTTTCCCGGTTCTGCTCAAGATAATTGATGCGCTTGGTACCTGAGATGGGTATAATATCGTCACCCTGTTTGAGCAGCCAGACCAGAGCAAGCTGGCTAACGGTGCATCCGCGATTGTCAGCGAGCGTCTGAAACCGAGCCACAACCTGTTCGTTAGCCTTTCGGTTCGTTTTTTGGAAGCGAGGCATGACTGAAAAGAGAATCAGATAACTCTCCCGGGTTCTGATACACACGCCGAGTCGACACTGATAGGTAACGATAGCAGAGCAACAATGGAATAGAGATTGATCTCCTCATAGGTTTACTTCTACTCCAACACGTCACTCCATCTAAATATATCGAGAAGCCGATCATTCCATCCAACTATCTTGCCACTTGCTATGCACGAGTGAAAGCTCCCTGACGTCGACGCTGTCTTCATCCTAGTACTTTAGATCTATCGGCGTAGGAATGGCGTCTCGGGCAAAGCCAGAAGTGGTATACGAGTTCGCTGGTAAAAGGCCGTCGCAAACGATCGCCAGGATGTTGTGGGGAGTGCAGACCCGACGAAGCCTACTACAAATCCTAACACAACTCTTCGTCTTCTTCCTCAAACTTGTTGTACTTCCCAAGTCATCCACCATTATGAATCGAAGTGGTACTCGTGCATGGGGCCCTAAGGTATCCTTGGTGTAGGCTATTTGCTGCCGCGTCTGAGCGTTGAATTTTGCGGCCATCGTGTGAATGCCCAATTCAGTTGGGCGGTATCCAAGATGGGACCGGAGAGTATTGCGCGTAAGAGCCCCCTGTGAATCCAGTCTTTGCTGAGTGTACCAAATATACACCAGATCGTGGAGTAGCATTGGGAATTTCTTGTGACGGACGAGTTGGCGGTTCACGATGAAACTGGCTCCTTCACTCAAAATGAAGTCTCTTTGGATCTTGTGTACGATTGCGCTCGCTTCCGCGTTGACCTGTTTGCAGGTCGCGAGTATTGCGACCGGAAGACACCTTGTGATGAGAACAAGACAGCCTTTCGAGCTGGAGGGTTCGATGACGTGGTAGTGCTTGATCTGCCGTGGTAGGCGCTCGTAGACCATGAGTCGGAGTTCTTTAGGGAGACCGAGGAACTGAAAGGGCGCAGGCGTAGTCATGTTCATAGCGTTGATAGCAGTAGCGGTTTGCGCTTAGTTTGGTCGATGCGTGCCGATGGTGCGATGGAAAGCGAAAGCTGGTCGTGTACAGTCGTAGGCTAAGCGCTTGTAACACCGAAAGCGTACCTAGGTACGCCCACTTGTCTGTCGCCCGTGCTTTAGGCACCACAATGGCGCTAGTGAGCGCAAACATGGCTCGAGCGATTCTCTGATCGCTGCCACGACTTCACCCACCACCTTCCAGAGTACTCGCCGACAGTAGCGACTGCAGTCACCCGTCAACATGGCGATGGCGTCAAATGGAGCGACTCCGGAACCTTTCCGTTTTCTCGATCTTCCAAAGGATATTCGCTTGATGGTATATGAACGACTTCCGCGCTCCACCAATCATTTGAACGTTGGTCATCGGAATAGTGAAGAACGGATCACGCTGATCTCGCACTCTGTCTCAACCGCCATACTCAGAGCATGTCATCAGATTTATCAAGAAGCACTTCCCCTTGTCAACAAAGCCATACGTGAATGGATCCAGGATGGAGGCGTCAAGGTCATTGGCACAATGGAATTTGTCGACCTGTGTGGGCTACAAAAGCTCCTGTATGCGCTCTGTTACATTTCCAACATCAATGTGCGTTTTACAGATCGGTTCTTGCTGATATTGGCCTTAGCTAATAACCCTAGTTTCCAAAGTCACAGTCGATGCATCTTGCGAAAAGTCTGAACGATGACGTAAAACCGTATGTTCGGACGAGGATCCATCAAATCGGATATTCCTCAGACCACGATATCGATAGCGTTTGTGCTTGGGTCGCAAGATCGGCCTTAATTCTAGGACGACAGCGGATCGCTATGGGTATCATGGCAGCTGCATCTGCACTACCTTCGATCAACATTCTACTCAGTCCTGAACACCGGTCTCCCCTGCCGTCGACTCAAGACGAGCAACTTGCATTACGATTCGAGAGACTCAATCGGGTCCAACTTGAGCATTTCGGGGTTTCCATGAACATTGTAGGCTTCATCAATGCTG